CAAAATCGGTTCAACCAATAAAAAGTTACGAGGTAACACAAATAAAAAAAAAACATACAGTCGAATTGAGTACCGTCTCCTTTTTGAAGTCGGTAGAAAAGAATAATATGGCTTCCAGACATAGAAATCTATAACTATAGCAACTTATAATCTTTAAAAACAATAATTTCTAGTACTGATAATAATCTACTAACAACAGGACTATTCTTTGATTCATCCAAAGCATTTGACTTTGTCACACATAGTTCCCTTTTATATAAATTGAAATCTTTCGAAATTAGACGAATAGCACTGAAGTGGATTTCACCTTATTTATCAAATTGACGTCAATCTGTGAATAATATTGATAAATGATGGACAATATTATCTTTCTCGTCTAAGCACGGAGAAAAGAATTATGGAGTTGCAGAAAGGTAGCGCCTTAGGTTATGACTGCTTCGTTGGTCTAGTGTTGGTAAACGCGACTGCTGATCATGAGGTTCCAAGTTTGAATTCCTGGTCGGGTCAGAAAAAAATCAGTTGTTGAGTTGTTCTGTCGGAAATTCTCAGTAGCTGCCCGGAGTCAGGAAGTTGGCGGTGTTTCACCCCCTGCCTGGAAAATACGTAAAGCCGTTGGTTCTGCGCCTGATATATCTCCGGTCGTGTCGGTTTGCCGTCCATCGGACTATGAGTATGAGAGAATAGAGAAGAATAGAGAGTGCACCTGTGTTTGCGCATACAGTCGGGCACTATACTCCTGTCCTGCGCAAATAGTTTGTCACTGTTGATGACCGAAATCCGATCTGGACAACATTATTATTATTATTTCTGTTATATATCAATTTCTTTTTTTGCCATATCTCTGGCGACAAATCATAAATGCAAATTTTTTGGACTATATTTTCGTTACTGTAACATCCCATTAAAATTCCAACAAAAGAATTCTGTAAGCCAAAGATTATCAAACTTATTTCTTTTACCGCCCCCTTTGAAAATCAAATATTTTTCAGCGCCCCCAATTTTTTATACACTCCTAAAACTTAAAAACCACAATTTAATTACTTTAATTAATTTAGTTATGGTGTACTATATTGATCGATTCTAGTGTTTAAACTTACATTCGAAACTAGACATTATTACCAGTGAGAGCAATTAAAACGCAACTTTATAATATTAAGAACATATTTTAACCAAATTAAAAGAAACAATATCGATAGGTTATCAATGTTAGTTTTAAAACTAATCTAATGAGATTTTTAACAAGTTTTTTGATATCAGGTTCGATTTTACTCAAAACCAGTTGTAAGTCGCCGCGTTCAAACGATTTTTTTTAGTAAGCCAACGCTGCGTCACATCCAGGGGTGTCACTTCCACTATGGAAGGTATGGAGCACTCCATACCTCAAGTTTTTCAAGGTATGGAATTCCATAGCTGAAATTAGGAAATAAATCGCATATTACTACAAACCCCATATAAATAAATCGCAAGCCCTTAAACCTCAATACCCCACATCTTATAGTTCAATAAATAAGTTGAGTATATACACTGCAAACTCTTAAACCTTAATACCCCACGAGTAATGCGAACAAATTTGAAAATCGCGCCACCATTTTCCATACCTCAGATTTTTACAAAGTGACACGCCTGGTCACATCGCTCAATCCACGTTCACACAAAAATTACGATGGGAATGCTATCAAAAATCGTTGAACAATCGACCACAATCCAGGGTGCAAGTGCGGGATTGACTTTTGTAGCCATTTTTGAATTTGAATTTTATTTCCTCGTTCGTTGTCAGTTCTATAAGTTCTTATTCCAGTTGGGGTGATATTGCTATGTTGACATTTGAAAAAGGATCTAACACCCAGTCTGGTATTTCCAATTTCAAAATGTCTTGGAATCTTTCAATGAAATCACTATGGAGATTTTCCAAATGTAGACAAGCAAGTCGTCGTTGTTGCAGGATATTGATAAATTGGAAAAATTATGGAACTCACGTCTGCCGATATTCTTCTTGTGTAAGAGCAGCTTAGCTACGAAAGGAGTGACGACATTTTTTGTTTTTATTAAGTTCAAGTCATCGCCTTGAAGTTGGAGATTTTTTTTTATAGGAGTGGGGGCAAACGAGCATGCGGCTCACCTGATGGTAAGTGACTACCGCCGCCCATGAACAACTGCAACACCAGGGGAATTTCAGATGCGTTGCCGGCCTTTTAAAAAGGAGTACGCTCTTTTCTTGAAGGTCCCTAAGTCGTATCGGTCCGGAAAAATCGCTGATGGTAATCGATTCCACAAGGAAGTCGTGCGAGGAAGAAAACATCTTCTAAATCCCACAGTGGTGGACAGATGGTGTGGATGGTATCGGGAGTTCTGCCGCGATGTGCGTTCGTGATAGATGCGAAAGAAAATGCAAAGGGATTCAACATCTCTTCGCAGTGTCAATGAATCGAGCCGATCGGAAAGGGCTCGGCAGTATTCCATTTGAGGCCGAACCTGCGCCTTGTAAAGTTGCAGGCGGTGTGCCGGCATCAAATACTGTCCCACTCTGTTGAGCACGCCAAGATTATTAAGGAGATTCATATCATTAAGCAATTTATAAAGGTCTGTCAGGTATGCGATATTATTCTTTGTTGTGATGAGGTTGTTACGCAATTCGGTGTCTTTGTTTACCAAGAACACGACAGAGTCAAACAGATTGTAAAATCGAGTTAGACAATTTCCTTTTGATAGCCAACGCACTTCTGTGTGAAAGATCAATCGGTTGAAATCTTCATCATTAGTAATACAAAGCTGATTAAATAATTTGTCATTTAAAGAGTTGTTTCACTTAAATTTCTATCAACCATATGTTGTTGACGTATAACGCAATGTACAGCAAGCACATCTGGAATTTTGTTTTTTAAATACGCTATGAAGCATTTTTGACACCCCTTCATTGCTGGAGCACACCATCTGTAGTAGCTGATATAATATTCTTCAAAGGAATTCCTTTTTCATCACAAAACTTTTCCAGTGTTTTAAATATGGTTTCTCCTTCTCAATTTTTTTCTCAATCTTCTCTTCTTCAATTGTTTTTAAATTATAACTCTTTTCAGAATAAAATATCTACAATAAAAATCTTTTAGTATTACAATCATGTACAGACGATTCTTAACCCATTGATAATCAAAATTTTTCAAAAATTATTATATTTCATGAAAACTTCTAAATACCTTTAGTGATTTTCAGAAGATTTTTCAGGATTACAAACAAATGAATGTTATTACAATCACCTGAGTTGTTTGTAGAATATGTATCAATTTTTATTATCATTACAATTTTGTTCAAATTATAACTCTTTTTAGAATAAAATATCTACAATAAAAATCTTTTAGTATTACAATCATCTACAAACCATTGGTAACCAAGATTTTTCAAAAATTATCTTATTTCATGAAAATTTACAACCTTTAGTGATTTTCAGAAGACTATTGGAGAACGATTACAAACATCTGCGTTGTTTGTAAAATATGTATCAATTTTTATTTTTTTATTTCTTTTAGTTCGGGTTCCAAGTTCCCAGAACAAAAAGATTGCGCGCGAAACCACTAATGAAAATATGAAAATTATTACGAGCTTATAAATAGGATATAAATACACCACGTACCGACAAGAATAAAGCGTCTCCCACTCACAAGCGGCTTGCAGTGGCGGCTAACCGCGAGCCGCAACTCTAGCCGCTGCAACAACACACCACCGCGGTCGCAACGGCGGCTTGAAGAGCCATTCGCTGTGCAGTGTCTACGATTGGACGTCAGTAACATGACACTCTCACACGCACGGATTCGCTGCAATCATGCGCAAGCGCTGTGCATCGCTACTTCGGTGCGTGCGCGGCAGCCCCAACAGCATCCTGCGTACGCTAGCTGACCGCTGGGACTCGCCCATGTTGGCTCGCTGGATACGGCTACATGCTGTCTTGTACTGTACTGTACCTTGTACTGGCTTATTGCCACCATCGGTGCAGTTTCATACTTGTGTCGTCAACCAATATATTACTAACACACTAGATATAAGAAAACATTTACTAACAAGTATGGATTTGTTTGTTCGAAATATTCGAATTATTATTATTCTTATTATTAATCCGTATAAAGAATAAAATACTTCACGAAAAACTTTATCACATTATTGATTTTTTTGATATTGTAAGCTGATTAAATATATGTATAGCACTACTTAAATATGTAGCTGTATCAATAAAAAATATGATTTTGAATTTTGATCCGTAAAAGTGGTGGGACTTTGTGTGTGTATGTGAACTATTAGTGGTAACGATGGAAATACGATTAAAAATCTCAGGTGTTTTTATGCGTTTATAGGCCTCGAGATATTATCGTTATCGATATAGTCTTCTTCTTTTAAATTATGCCTTCTCTTGATAGATTCTGCCAGTGTCAAGTCAGTATCGATACAGTCTCGTAAAACAAGTGCTCCGATGGTAATGTGAATCTCAAGATAAGGGTATCTGTCTGCTTTGTCTGCTTAGGCGCCTTGAGATACTATCGCCAACTGTCTGGTGGCTTAAGTTGCCGTCAAAATCTCTCAAAAACTCCGCAATACATAATATTGTAAAGCAGTGTAATATAAAGGATTAGTATCACTTGATACTGAGATAAAATTATCCTTTAAGCCATGTTTTTATTTAATAAAGACAAGGCTTAAAAGATAAGCATCCAAACCAAAATCTTAATTTATAAAAGTACTTGCAATCTGTCAAAAAAACAAACATTGCGAAATTTAAATCGGCGCATTCACAAAAATTGAGTGAATAGTGATACTATACATAATTCTTATAACTAATCTGATTGAATATTTTTAACATGAAGTGAGTAATATAAACATATTATAACAACAGTTATTTTCTACTTAGTTCTTACAAACTTAGTGCTCATGTTATGTCTTAATATTTTAGGCTAACAGTAGATGGTCTTTTGGTGTATTTTCCCTATGATTACATATATCCTGAACAATATGCTTACATGCTGGAATTAAAACGAGCTCTTGATGCAAAAGTAAGTAACTATTTCTTAGTACATCATATTCTTGAAAGTCATAAAGGTTATTTTAATATGGTTTTTTAATAAGTGTGCAAGATTAAACTTTATTTGTAACGGTAAGTAACTTTTTCTTATATACATCATATTCTTGAAATTCATATACGTTAAGAAGAATCGATATTGAATCATCAATCAAAAATGTTACATAGAAAAATGTATATTAATATTTTTTTATTCAGTTTTTTCTAAACTTCAGTTTTATATTTATATCTTGTTGGTACGAAACTCTTCCAATTACTACCAAAATATTATGACATCTTTTGCTAAGAGGTGTAGAATTAGCTACATGACTGAATTCTATTTAATTAATACATAAAATTTTTGCAGTTTTTATCTCAAAATAAAAATATATTAGTACTACGTGACCAAAACTATTAGACGCATGACAGCTAAGACAGTTAGAACTAAGTAGGGAACACCGGAACAGTTATTGGTCACTGGAAGCACGGGGATAGAAGTTGGGTGTGGGCACCGTAACTGCATTCATGTCATGCGTGTAATTGTTTTGGCCAAGTTGTATATATTATATACACATTTTCACACTGTTATTTATCACACTCATATCACATTATTTTATTTGTCATAGTACACACATCCATTGTTTTTTTTTTTTATAGGATCGGGTGACAAACGAGCACACAGTCCACCTGATGGTAAGTGGTTACTGTGACCCATAGACATCTACATCTGTCCTCAATAAAGACTCAAGATGCAAATGTGTTGTCACCCGTGAGGACTAAGATGGAATGCCTCTTTGCCAGTAAAAAGGGTCTCAGGTTCTCTACACTCACCATACGAAACACAGCAGCGTTAAGCTGCTTAGTTTAGTTTAGTTTAGTTTACGACGGGCTGTTTTCCGCAACTCCACGTCTATGCGCGTATTTTGCGTGTGGGCAGGAATAATGTGATTATTCGAGCCATGAGATCTCTCCGAAGAAGCTCAACAGGCCCTTGATGTTGCATGCAACTTCGGGGAGTGATCCCGGCGTGCCGAGATGTTTAGCCCTGTATGTAGCGACCTCCGGACATTTCAGTAGCACGTGGGCCGCCGTTTCTTCCTCCCCCATACATGCCCTGCACAGGGGACTATCTGTAACACCTATAGTAAATAAATGTTTGTTAAAGGTGCCGTGTCCTGTGATAGCACTTGTTACTATCCTAATCTGCGGCTTGTTCAGTCTCATTAAAACTTTTGTTAAGCGACTGTTAATTTCAGGCAGGGCATCCCTAGCTTGTCTACAGTCTACTAGATTTTTCCAAAGCTGAGCGTGTTGATTAGTAAAGTGTCTACGTACCAGTGAACAAACGTTACCAAAGGGGATTGGTATGATCGGTTCCGGCCCTATAGTGGCCAAAGCCGATCCTCTTCTGGCAAGTTCGTCTGCTGCATCGTTGCCTCTGGATCCACTGTGTCCCTTTATCCATTGCAGGGTCACATTGTTGTTTTTACATACCTCATTTAATCGTTGATGGCATTCATATATTAGTCCCGAGTTCACCACATTGCATCTCAGGGCTTGGAGTACCGCCCTACTGTCGGTCAGTATTCTGATGGGGAAGTCATTAACCTTCCTAGCATCTATTGCTATGGCCGCTTGAATGATACCCATACATTCCGCCTGAAAGACCGTGTTATAGGTACCCAGCGGTGTGCATATGTGAATATTGAGGTCTTCAGAGAAAGCTCCACAACCTACACCTTCATTTGTTTTAGAACCATCGGTGAAAATTCTAAGCTCTTTTGGGCTTAATCCTTCCGGCTGGCTGTTTTCATTTAACTGTATCTTGTATTTCTTATCGAAAACAAATTGTTTAGGAATCCTATCGTATTTGGCTTGTAGGATAGGAATTTTTGAGTGAATTCTATCAATTATGCCTGTATGAGGGACACTATTCTTACTCCAAAGATTTAGGGTCTTGAGTCTGATGGCAGCTAAAGTCGCTTCTTGTTGTATATGTAGATGAAGCGGAGTTAGCTCCAGCATCGCTTCTAAGGCTGCTGTTGGCGTAGTTCTCATGCAGCCTGTAGCAGCCATACATGCCAGTCTCTGGTAGCGCTGAAGCTTTTTAATTATGGTGGCTTCATTTGTCTTGGTCCACCATACCAGAGCGCCGTATGTGATCATGGGCCGAATTACAGTTTTGTAAAGCCACAGTATGATTTTTGGCGTCAATCCCCATCTTTTGCCAATCATGTTTCTGCATTGCCAGAAAGTTATACTAGCTTTGTTGATTTTGTTTTCTATGTGTTTATTCCAGTTAAGTTTGCTGTCCAAGGTAAGACCTAAATATTTTACCTCAGAGGATAGCTGGAGTTTTGTGCTAAAAAGACTTGGAGGATGATAGTTATTCAGCTTTCGTTTTTGTGTGAACATAACTAAAACCGTTTTATTTGGATTGACAGTTAAGTCGTGTTCCCTGCACCATCTCTCCACTATACGGAGAGCCGCTTGGGTCAGGTCGCACACTATGCTTGCTGTCTTTCCAGAGACCAGTATTGTCAGGTCATCAGCATAACCTACTGTATAGAAGTGATTGTCATTTAATTTGCTGATGAGTTCATTAATGACCATATTCCACAGGAGAGGTGAGAGAACCCCACCCTGCGGGCAGCCTTTCTTAATTTGGATTGGTTGAGATTCACCAGCAATCTTTATTATTCGTGTACTGAGCATGTAAACTATCCAGTCGATCAGTGCCGGTTCAACTTTGTGTCTACCGAGTGCACCTTTTATGCTGGAGAAGTTCGTTCGGTCAAAAGCACCTTCTATATCTATGAAGGAACCTAGACATATTTCTTTGTTTTGGATGGCCTCTTCAATCTTTGTAATTACCTTATGAAGGGCCGATTCTGTTGATTTGCCTAGACTGTAGGCGTGTTGCTTGTCGTGTAGTGGTAAGTTCATTAGCGCCGACCCCCTTAATTCCCTTTCACACATCCTCTCCATCGTCTTTAGGAGAAAGGATGTGAGGCTAATGGGCCTGTAGGATTTAGGGTCAGTGTAGTCGCTCTTACCTGGTTTGGGTATGAATGTAACGTTCACTTCCCTCCATCCCCTAGGAACATATTTAAGAGCAAGACAGGCTCGCATTATGGCAGCAAGTCTGACTATTAGGGCTTTACCCCCCCACTGTAGGAGTGCCGGGAATATGCCGTCGGGTCCTGCCGCCTTATAGGGGAGGAAACTGTGAATGGCCCAATGGATTTTGTCCATCGTTACCACTCTCTGTGCTAAATTCCAGTCTTCTGCTGTTGATGTCAGTATGTCGTCATGCCGGTTTGCCTCCTGGGTTACGCAGCAACCTGGGAAGTGCGTTTCAATTAGGATGCGTTGGGCTTCATCCGGCGATGTTGAGTAGCTACCGTCGGGTTTCTTTAGAGACATGGATCCCGACGTGTTCTGTTTAGCTAGAATATTCCTAATCCTATTTGCTTGTTTGCAGGTTTCTATGTTGCCACAGAATTTACGCCACCCAATCGAGCGTCGATACCTGATACATTTTTTGTATTCAGACTTAGCTTTCTTATATAATAGCCAGTCTTCATCCATTGAGGTATTCATGGCCCTATTTAGAGCTTTTCTTACCTTCTTACGTTTTCTATCGAGTTCTTTACCCCACCACGGTTGTTTTACCTCGGCATGTCTTGGTGGAGTGATTTCTGGACATGATTCATGGTAGCTGTCTATCATGGCCTTAGTAACAGCTGCTACCTGTTCTTCTAGGAGCGACTGATCTGCTATAGTATTTATCCCCTCAAAATCCGCTAGCAAAGACGTCAGCCTATTTAGGTATTTAGTTTTATCTGTCTTGCGGGGATTTCTCCATGGTGGTGTAGAGGGGATATCGACCTGTAGTGCGAAGCAGATCCATCTATGGTCTGAGCATGAGGCCTCTCTCGACACATGCCATCCCGTAATTAGTTTGGCTGCTCCTTCTGTTGCAAGTGTGAGGTCGATTATAGTGCGACAGCGTTTGTTTATGAAAGTAGGTTCAGAACCTATGTTTAAAATGGTTAGGTTAGTACTAAATAAATATTCAACTAAAACTTTACCTCGTTCATTTGGTTTTTCCATTCCCCAAAGGGGATGATGTGCGTTGGAGTCCGTCCCGATCACAACCTCTAGTCCGGTCCTCTCGCAGAAGTTCACCAGCCTGCTGAGGTCATGAGGTGGAGGAGTGTCTTCCTCCGGCATGTAGACCGAGGCGACGACTAATCTACTCTCCTGTGTGTACTGTATTGCTACGGCATACATGTCTCTAGAACAGAAATCTGTTAAAGGTTGTGCACAGATATCTTTAGTAGTGTAAATACACGCTCTAGGCTTGTCGTGTTCAGGGCTGTAGAATAACTTACCTTTTAGGTTGTTTAGGCCTTTAATTTTACCAGCCCCAACCCATGGCTCCTGGATTAAGGCTATGGCAGTCCTTTGAACCTCCAACCACTTGCGTAATTGAGCCGACGCAGTTTCGCTGTGGTGGAGGTTGGCCTGCACTAGGCTAGTTTTGGACGAAGGGCACGCCATCATTGATCGCGTCCTCCCCGTCCCCGCCCAAAAATAGGCCTGCCAGCAGATCTCGGGTCTCATCGTCAGCCACCGAGTCGGAGGTGGTCGGCAAAATGCAGTCCTCCTCGTCACTCAGTGAGCTGCCGCTGAGCCCAATCTCCACTGGGGGCTTCGGCTCAATTGTGCAGGCCGTTTCTTCACTGGACTTGGCCTCCAGTGATTCCGCTGTACCGGTAACTATGGCTTCGGTATCCATAACTTCCGGGTTGTTTTCTACCTCTTTGCTCGGTGGAGTATCAAAGAATTTGCCTCCACGACCCTGGAATTTTACGTATACCGCCCCGCATACACATGCGAGACGGCGTCCGGCCTTCATCAGGGTCGGGATATGATCCTCCGGCACCGAAACAACGAGGAACCACCCGTCCGTCTGCTTATCTGCCTTGAGTAACAGCCAGTCCCTGATGTTAACCCAGCGGTTCTGGTACGCCAACACGCGACCAATGTCGCGTGAGTCTTTCCAGGCCCCCTGGGCATCAGGGATAAGGATACCACATTTGACTCTTTGTGGTATCTCTGACTGTTTCTTTATTGTCAGCAAGGTGCTGGATTTAAGGTCGAGGGTAGCAATGTTCCCCTTCAACCAGTCCAGAGCCTTCTGATCGTCGCACCACAGTTTCAGGACACCTTCCGTATAAACGGGTTTGCCCCTAAAAACTGGGCCCGACGCATCAGGGTCCTGGCTACTCCAGGCCTCGCTGATCATCTTCCTCTGTATTGCTACGAGGATGTCGTCTGCTACTTCCTTCGTAATGTGACCTGAACGCGCACACGTTAAGGCCACACCCAAATCTGCTTTAGCAGCGGAAGCGTAGCTCGTTCTTGCAGTCTTTGGTTGCTGTTCGAGTCTCACTTTTTTGTGTTCACCTCTAGGCGAGGTGGACTCTTCCAGCATCCTTTTGGCTGCTCTTTCCTTCTTCCCAGGACGCTTGGCCGCTCGCTGCTTCCTGGCGGATATCCTAGAGCTGGTTCCCGCGTCCGCGACTTCCACTTGGGCTGGATTTTTATCCTTCCCAGCTTCAGCGCGGCTACTGGTTCCAGCGCCAAGCACCTCAGTCGCAGTAGCTTGCCCAGCCTCCTTGGTTTTGGTATCTGAAGCAGCCAAAGCGGCTCGTTCTCTACGGCCTTTTTCCCGCTGCTTCTTGTTCTTCTTTTTGGCCTTTCCACTGCTGCCTGCAGGGATAGACCCTCCTGATGGTCCGTCAGGTCGGCAAGTCACCTTTTTGGGTGCCTTGCCTTTCCCCTTACGGCTCACCACTTGCCAGGCAGCAGAGAAAAGGTCGTCAGTCCGTAGTGGCTCCGCAGTTTTATCACTTGCGGGCTCTTGTTTCTTTTTCTCTTTCTCTTCCAGCTCCTTGGAACTGGTTTTGGAAACGTTCAGCGAGGTTATCCCTTTGGTGGGGGCACCTACGCTGGACGGTACTGTCCGTGGAACCGTCGGTTTAGTGACGGTTCCCTTTTGTTCTTTGGTGTCTCTGGTAAGCACCTCTGACACCTCTCCCTCCTTCTTATTGGGCCTTAAATTGTCCATAATTTGTGTTTTTTAAAATTCATCCCCCCGGCTTCCCACCCTCCATGGAGCCCGCACCTTTGGGAACGCCCTACTTTAGGAATTTCAGGCGTTAGGATTACCGGGAGAATATAGGGACGCGAAGTTGGCTCACAGCGCGACATCGGGAGCTCGATCCAGCTGGTAGATGGGGCTGACAAGGCCCATCCCCACCACCCGAATAAACTGTCACTTGCTCCGTCAGCATGGCCTTTACCACCACCCAGCCCCCTTTTCAGGAAGACTAGGCAGCCCCCACATCCCTCGCCTGCGACCCTCTGACGGGGCGCTTGGCCATTTCCCTATCTGTGGCTAGCAGATAGGGCCACCGTTTAGCTTGAAATCCGGACCAAAGAGGGCGTGTTGCCTCTCGCCACTATATACCCCAGCGACGATCGGCTCAACCCTCCAGGACTCCTTCATCCCCGCGTACGGCGCTCGACTGCGCAGGTCCTAGCGCAGGTGGGTGTGTTAGTCCACCGGATACACCCACTCTCTCCGGCGGATTCGTCCCCTCCTCCTTTCTCATCCGGGCTTGGGACCGGCAATGGCGGAGTTAAAAGCGTTAAGCTGCTATTTTACACTGGTTTTCTGTGAGAGCGTGGTCCTTCCCCGGTCGAGCCGACCCATTCGTGCTACAACCATAATATAGCTGCAGCATGGCTCTACCATGTAAAGATTGTATTAGTATATTGGTGCTGGCTGGAGTAAAACTTAGGGAGAGTAATCATAATCACTTTTAAGTGCTGATTTACCTCATGCTTGATGGTGTAGGAAATATTGTAAGGAATCATGTGGATTAAAATATTTTAAGGACATGTGAAGTCTGTCATCACAGTAGAGTGTGGTGGACTAATTGAAGACTAAGTGGAGAAATGAGAAGAAGCTTGTGCCACCAGGAGGGCCCAGGTATGGGCTGTAACTTCAGTGTAATATAGGAATGCCCTATGACTACAGAAATATTTATGAAGATATATAATTTCCTTTAATAAAGGAAAACATTTAGGCGCTTTAATAAATTGTGTATTTGTACATTTACTTTACTAAACAAAATGAGTAGTACCTTAAAGAATATGGTATTAATTCTTATTTTGCCACATATTAAAAAAAAAACAATAAAAAGTATGAAAATGGTTCGTTTTTTAATTGTATTTGTCAAATATCAAATAAAAATAAAATACTGAATAAAATTTATTTCAGGTGTTAAATATTTTTATTTTATTTTCATCTATTATGCAAAAAGTCAAAAGTCCCTGTCAAAAGTCCACTGCTGAATATAAGGCTCCCCTATGGATTGCCTCATAAGGATGATATTTACCACAGCTGCCATACTTGGCTTGCAGGTAATTGCAGTTTCTTATTATTTCACATTGTTATCACAAATATTCTGCTGCTCATCTCCTGTCTCATTTCCATCTGTCGTTTTATTGTCTACCCAAGGCATGATGTAGGGGGTAGAGAATTTTATATCTATTTTTATTTGCTTTATAATATTGTTGCAAAAGATATAATAAAGACTTTATTTTCAGGGACATGGACTACTTGAAATGCCCTCAGGAACAGGAAAAACTATTTCGCTATTGTCATTAATTGTTGCATATATGATACAAAACCCACATCATGTCAGGTGAGCAAAATAATAGTCAGATAGTGGATGTTATAACATTTGTATATTTTTTCCAACCTTAGAAAAGATATTTTAAAGGATATTTTATGTTAGACTAAGTAGTGTCAGAGCTGTGCATAATAGACAGAAAGGATTAAGGTATCACTATAAACATTTTTTATAAAGCTGTTTGTGAGCAGGCATTGAACAACTAGTTACTTTGACTGTGAATGAGTAGATGGTTTATGAACAATCAATGGCCTAGTCAAATCCATAGAGGGCTAAATTTAAACTTCATAACATTCATTTCGACTAGCAACGTGACTACCGAAGCGAGTTGTATAATATTAGTTCATATTATGTTTGGTGAAATGACAAAATTGCGCAAACAAATTAGAACTCTAATAAACGACTTAATATGTCATGCTGTTACACTAGTCTACGGTCTACGTATGTCGACTATGTCGAGCCATAGACGACGTCGCAGAGTTTAAATTTTAAAGGCTACAAAACATAGTTGAAACGTAAACTAGTCAACAAATTTAACTAGTTGATCGACTAGTAGATGAACGAAAATGGACGGTCTAGTTTCATTAACAACAAATATGTCGACGACCCATCGCTACAGCAGACCCTTTTTTACTACAAATGACGCATTCCATCTTAGTCCTCTGGGGTGGCAACACGTCTTAACTTTGATTCTTAACAGAGGTTAGATATAGATGTCTATATACCACAGCATCTACTTACCGTCAGGTGGACTGTACGTATTGTCACCCTTATGCTATGAAAATATAGAGCGTTTTCTACATGGTAGAGCCATGCTGCAGCTATATTACCGGTATAGTTGTAGCACGAATGGGTCAGCTCGACTGGGAAAGGATCACGCTTTCACAGAATACCAGCGTAAAATAGCAGCTTAACGCTGCTGTGTTTAGTATGGGGTGTGTAAAGAACCGTAGACCCTTTTTACTGGAAACAAGGCATTCCATCTTAGTCCTCACGGGTGACAACGCATCTGAAGCTTTCTTTGCTTGATGTTGGCTGCAGGTGTCTTGACTGCAGTAACCAGTTTCCATCAGGTGGACAGTAAGTTCATTTGTCACTTAAATTTTATAAAAAAAACGTAATTAATCTTGAATTTAATTGTACTCGTATAAAGTATGTAACACTGTATAACAGATTTTGCTGGGTTTTATTCTATCACTGACATAGGAAAGTAAATGATTTCTTATATTTACGCAAAAACTACACATTAAATGAAACCAATTTTTACGGATTTAAACGCGTTTAATTTAAGTTTTTAATTGCCGACGTTACGCTTTACAGCACCCACGGTCACGGGGAGAATGAGGTGCTTTAAGTTCCGATGTCATAGTTAGCCCCTGTACCTTCAGTTTTTGAATATTAATTTTTGGTCTGATCTACACAGAATGAGCTTACAGTTTCTTGAAGTCTTGCAGTGGTATGCTTGGGTTTGGATTTAATTTTATTAATTATAGGATCCCAAGCAGATGACAGCACCCATCCATCTTCTCTATTGAAATTAGAATATTTTTTAATTTCAATAGCCTCGCGAATCATCCTTGGTAGGAATCGGTGTTATTTTTCAGAACTCAGGCTTGGCTTGTTACGAAAAGTCAATCAGCAAAAACGTTTCGATCTACAATTCATAAATAATACCATAGAAAATTTGTCAAGTGAGTTAAAGACAGTTTGTTTAGGTCAAATAATTAACTAAGATGCGCGACGGCGTGTCCTTCCGATGGAATTTAAAGGTCACCGTCGGCCTCTCCCGTGCGGGTCTCGGCCGAGCGCTCGGTAGCCTGACGCGTGAGTTAGTTGGTTGGGCGCGGCCGGTGTCGTTAATTGTGCGCGTACGCCGAGTCGATAAGACGGCCTGGAATTTATGCTCGGAACCGCCTCCTTTGAGTTGTCTTATTTCGTTCGTATATGTGACAACGAGGCTGGTCTTATTATAATTCTTGTTGTAATAGTTTTGAGTTGGGCGCGGTCGTAGTGTCGATTGTCTAGAAGTTACTCTCGTATAGTTTGGTCGCGTGACGACTGCCTCTAATTGAGTTGTCTTTTCGTTCGTTTTACTTGACAACGAGGCGGTTCGGGAGTTTTTGAGTGATTAAATTAACTTCTATTGCCATTAATTTGCATCGACGAGTTGTTTGTGTGTCATTTTGATATCGTAATAAGAGTTTTGCTTTGTCGGGTGAACGCTAAAACTTTGTAACTCGAGAGGAGATCGCGTTTGTGCTCGATGATAATTTGGTGCTTAGTGAACCTGGGACATTGAACTTTGACCGACCGTTCTTAAGTTGTGCAGCATGTCACTTGTTTTAATTTCGATTAACGTTGTTATATTAAGTTGTATGTATATTAAGTTGATAAACTAGTATAGTGAAATAAAAGCGGAAAATCTCTATTGGGGAACGCCCACTGGAGGGATTGCACATTGTGGAGAAAAGCAGCGCCTGTGGGTCTGCTGTCAGATCGGTGACGTGAGGTTACATCTATACACTTTCATACACTACTTTACACCCACTTACTTACCACCTGACTTTGCCTCGTGGTCGACCCTACCTCCGTAACTCGGTAAGCTGTGTTTGCTTATTAGCCATTAGTTAAGAATTATCCATAGGCCATTTGGGCCCGAATCCTCTTTTGCTCGTCGAGTGTATTACTGATGGGCCCTAATACAGTCGACTTCTGTCTGGGCAATAGAGGGCCGTAACAATTTCTGGTAGCAGAGCGTGGTTGATTGTTTCTCCAATCACGCCCGGCCGTAATAAAAAAATATATTTTTTGTGTTTTGTTAGCGGATCGGTGGGTAGAATTAAAACCACGCCCGTTAGGCTGCGCAAGCCGGAGTGTAGTTTAGGGTTAGGTACCTACGCGTCAGGTATTTCGGGTAGGTAGATTAAATAGCCGAAGGGTCGGTCGCTTCAGCGAGGCATCTTTGTTGAGCAACTGTGTAATTTGTATTTAACTTAATAGTAATTGTATTTGTTAATTTAATTTGTATTTAGTAGTGATGCCATCGCACAAGCCACCCGCGCTTCGCCTGCAGGCGGAGCAGCGCTGGGCCGCGAATGCCCATAATTTGATAGGGCGACCCGATCGGGTCCATAGTTTAGAGAAGCGGCTCGAGCAGGTCGCGGACCGAGGAGCCGTAGTGGAGGAGGCTACCACTGAGCTCCTGGCCTCGGATGCGGAACAGGGAGTCCTAGACTCCTGCCTCGCGGACTACGAGCAATTCTTTTCGCTCACGGATGACTTGATCGAGGGGGGGCCAAGTATGCTAATGAAGAATAGAATAGAATAGAATAGAATATTTTTTTATTCAATATACATTACATGTGTAATTCTTATTGAAAGTCATTTTTTACTTTACCACTGGTTCGAAAAAACCCTCTGTCCTGGGAAGAACCAGCAAGAAACCCAGCGGGACTTTTTTTTTTAAATAAATTTTACAATATAAATTATTACGAACTATTTACAAAATTTATTTTAGAAACTGCTTGGAAGCGATCACCTCATTCCCAAGGGTTATTATCAACCATGTATTCATTTATACTATAATAAGCCTTTTTATACAGTTTCAGCTTAATAAAACATTTAAACTTGGTAATAGAGAGAACCTGTACACTTTCCGGGACCTTGTTGTAATAGCGTATACATTGCCCCAAGAATGAATTACTGACTCTGTGGAGTCGAGAAACTGGTATCACTAGCTTGTGTTTGTTCCTAGTGTTTACAGAATGTATATCACTTCTTTTACTAAAACTATCTTTGTTTTTGTGAACATACATTAAATTTTCGTAAATATACTGAGAGGCCAAAGTTAATATATTAATTTCTTTAAATTTATCTCTAAGAGACTCTCTCGGTTTTAGATTGTAAATAGCTCTAATGGCCCTCTTCTGTAAAACAAAAATAGTTTCTGAATCAGCCGCATTTCCCCATAGCAAAATCCCATAAGACATTATGCTATGAAAATAACTAAAATAAACTAATCTAGCTGTCTCGACACTAGTGAGAACTCTAATCTTTTTTACAGCATAGGCTGCAGAACTTAGTCTGCTTGCTAATTTGGATATATGGGGGCCCCACTGGAGCTTTGCGTCAAGAGTGATGCCAAGAAAAACAGTGGATACAACAGGGCTCAATTCCTCCCCATTTAAAAACACATTGGTATTCAGATTTTGAACATTCGTTGTTGTAAATTTAACACAATTAGTTTTATTTCCGTTCAAATGCAGATTATTAACGTTAAACCAATGCACTAATTTTGATATAGCATTATTCACTTCGTCACATTTAAATGATTGACGTTTAAGTTTAAAAATCAAGGAAGTATCATCAGCAAATAATACTATATCATGACTATCCCCTACAAGGTGAGGTAAGTCATTAATATACACCAGAAACAGGAATGGGCCGAGAATCGAGCCCTGAGGTACACCCATTAGTACAGGTGACCCGGAAGAACTTTTACCATTGATAATAACCTTCTGTTTTCTATTACTTAAATATGAAATAATAAGTTTAAGCGCTGTGTTCTTGACACCATAGTACTGTAGCTTCCTGATTAATGTCTCATGGTGAACACAGTCGAAGGCCTTGGAAAGGTCACAAAATATACCCAAAGCATCCTCTGATTTCTCCCATGCACAAAAAATATGTTTAATAAGCTCAACTCCAGCGTCAGTTGTCGAGCGACCCCTTGTAAAACCGAATTGATTATTATGTAGCAATTTATTAATATTAAAGAAACTTAACATCTGATCTAAAATAATTTTTTCAAAAATTTTACTTAATGTTGGTAGTACAGAAATTGGTCTAAAATTGGCGGGGTCTAATGTACTACCAGATTTAAATATAGGTATGACTTTACTATGTTTCATTAAATCAGGAAACACACCAGATTCGACGCTTATATTAAATATAGTGGCTAGATAAGGTGCTAATGTATCTATTATAGATAAAATAACTTTAACGGAAATCCC